CAACTAATTTTGTAAAGAAAAACGCGTCGTTCTAAACGCAATTTCGATTGTTTTTTTATACGCGCGAAAACGAACGCTGTTAACTGACTCTTAACAATTTAATAATTAAAAAAACGAATTAAAGTTCTTTTATTTTACTGGTTTATAAATATTAAATTGCGTTTTTATTTGTACAAGACTTATTTTGTTAAAAAAAAAAAATTTTTTTAATACAGGAGAAGGTGGTATTATGGAATCCCAATTACATTATAGTGAATTGTAAACAAGGTATCATAACTACGCCCACATTTTTTGTGCGAAAAGTACCGGTAACTGGTAAACTAAATGTTCCTAATTGGATTTTTCGCTAGCGTAACTATAAGTATGGTTTTTGAAGGCTTCTGTACAAAAAATCAGAAAGTAAGCTTAGAGAAAACTGGGTGGTAATATGGAACGTTGCTGTATATTTTCAAAAAATGCTTTAATGTATCCAAAAACAAATAGGAAAGTACAAAGAATCGTAAATAATTACAAAATCATTTACTTCAATGTATTTTATTGCAAAAATGATTTAATAATAATAATAATAAAGAAATGTACAAAGAAGTTAATAATTTACAAAAATCACAAATATAATGCTCCTATAGTGTTAGGTAAGTATTTTTACTTTTTTCATTTTTCTTCTATTTTTTCATTCATCTACCACATACTTTTACAAAAGTTAGACGGCTTCCGTATTAAAAGCACCAATGGGGTCCGTATTTCACGCATCGCCATCTCGAATTAACTTATGTCTGTCGAGACCAGAATTTAAAAAACGTGAACATCGCGCGGATTAATACGTACCCCTAAGTTCTGGAACGGAATACGTGCACCGGCGAACCTACAACTACGCGATTTATATTTTAGAAATAATTAAATTCGCTTAGCATTCAAAACTTTCGAATTTCGAAAAACACAAATACTGTATGCTAATTCACTACGGACAACCGTTTAACTGAAGCGAAACGGGTTTTCCCCTTGCTACGGATGTCTGCCTAGTGCGGTTCGGCCACAATCCGCTACAGTTCGCCTTTATTATCACTTTGAAATGGAGGGGTTCCATAATACCACCTTCTCCCTATATTGTTTTCCTCTATGTAAAGTAAATTTTTCTTGAGTAAATAAAAAAAATGCTTAAAAATTTAGAATTTATAGAGCTTTCGACCCCTAAGCTTTCCATATCTCGTCTCGATTTTTATCATTCTAACTCAGTTCTCGAGATTAACGAAGGACAGACGGACAGACGGACGACAGTGGGAATGTGTAGGTGTGCAATTCGGAAATTTTTATAGAAATTAATATTTAAAAAATAAATAAATAAATATAAAATGATGTTTTTTACATCCAGATATCTAAATAATAATTTATTTAATTGAGATAAGCTTTTTTCAAGTTTTAACAACGTTAGTTTAAAACTTTTTATCGACATCTTATCAAAAAGATAAGCTCCTTGTTAAGAAATGTCTCCTCTTCCTCCGCTTATTACTTTGTTACATTTCTTACTTAATATTTATACTCGTACTATTTTTAATTATTTTTTGACACTTATATACGAATATTTCAAAAACATATGACACATTTAAACAGAACTACCGTAATAAAGTCTCGAGACAAATACGTTCTTAGTTCTTGTTGAAAGACGTGGGCTCGTTCCCACGCTTTTTTTCCTCTTTAAGTCTTGATTTTTAGGAGAAAAATGTTGTTTACGTATTAAATTTAATGTTGTTGATATTATTCTCTTTGTTATTTAATTTTTTTATTTATTAATGAAATAAATAAAAAAATCGATAAAGAATACACAGAAGTTCTTCGTTGATGCATACGAAATTAAATTTTTCCTATATTAAATATATATATTGTAAAACAATACTGAACAAAACCTTGTTATTTATTTAAAAATTGTTATATTAATAATTTTTAAACGTTATTTTAATATATTGCTAGTTTAAATATAGCAAATTATATTAAGATTTGGCAATTGTAACCATTCATCTAATGCTTCTGTGACGCTAAAGGTCAAGGTATAGATATACCCCAGAAAGAATATAATTAATTAATATTAACTCGCATTCACTTAATTTTAATATAAATAAGATATTTTTTTAAATGAAGATTAATTACAAGTATTAATCTTGATATTTCAAATTATTGTGAAAGCTCTCGTAATTCCATTACAAAGAGAAATACTGTATACAGTACTTTACTTTGTTTCTATGATTTTATTAGATTAAAATACATCTTTAATGGGATTTTTTTATTTTTAAATTTATTGTCAAATTTTTAGAGAGAAATATTTAAATATATGAATACATTAGGGGGATTACTAGCAATTTCTAATTAAAATTAATTAAATGAGTGAATGAAAAAATATATTTCTTGATGATTAATTGTTATGATGATGTGTAAATTTTATTAGTCTTTTTTTCTCTAGAATAATCTTCAATTTGTTAACACAAATTGTAAATGATTCTAGTATTTATCACCTATTATAAATGTAATATTTTTATCATTAATTGGTAAAGAACCTAGGATTAAAGCAGGATTAAAGCAGGATATGAAATGACTCACTTCGTTTTATCAATACTCAAGATAACAGATGTTCTAATGCAAGAATGATAAAATATAATAAGACTTGGATTTCTATATTCTATGCGTGTTACATAGAAAGGGCAAACAAATCTCTACATAAAACATTACTTACTAAATATCCCAGTTAGAACAAATTCAACGTATCTTAGATTGGACGTGAATTTGGATATAGGGTAGTATTCTTGAAGTCCAGAATGAATGATAATTCACTTTGAGGCATTTGAAAGGGGAAATTTTTCTAAAAGTTGAAGATATAAAAATATTCTTCGGGAATTGCTTTAATGATTTCCTATCGTAGAATGGAAGGTCCCCAGATGAACATGGGGGAAAATTAAAGGTTTGTGTGGAGAGTGGCGAGAGCATATAGATAATTTCAATTGCAGGTTTATGAATTTTGTGTTATTCTACACTTATAATTAATTTCTTTGTGATTCTGAAGTTCTTGCTGTCGAAGTCAAAGACTTTATGTCTCAATATTTAATGCCTGTTTGGGAAATTTTCTGATAATGAAAACTTTACTGTGTTTAATAAATACAGATAAAATTTGTAATAAATTATCTTCCTAATTTGAAACCGTGTCTGTCTTTCTATTTTGTTTATATCACACATCGGCAAATAAAAAAAGCGGATTAAAGAATGACGTAAAGAAAAGTATTGTGTCCATTGTACTGCACTTCATCGTGTGATATAAACAAAAAACAATTGCAATAAATTGATTAAATCTTCTTTTGAACTTTAATAAATCCTTTCCAATATCAGTTAATGAAATTGAAAGTGCTTTGCATTCATTAAAATTAATTAATTGTAATCGATATTTTATTTACTTATTTTCTTTCTACGTGTTTTCCTCTGGAATTTACTAAATGTTAAAAACATTGTACAATATGAACAATTAAATATTTAAAGAAGAATGATACGAGGTTCTTAATACACCCACAGTTTTTATATTTTATAATTAAATTTTAACAGGGTTTAATGATTTAATATTCTTGTGTTTTAGAAAGTTTATTATATACTAATTAAAGAAATGATAATACAAAATGGCCCAAAATTTAATTATTGTAAAGACTAAATTTCTATCTTATTTAAATGTTTTATTTGCAGCAATTATTCAAAACAGATCCTTCTTCAACTCTTACGCATTTTCGTAAATTGCTAACTTTCGTACAAATAACATACGGTTAACTGACTTTTTGCATGTCTGTATTTATTGTAATTTGAATATTTTTGTTTGTTCTTGAATACATTAGAATATTTATTTCTTTTTAAAATAATTAAGTTTTCTGTTTAAAGTCGTAAAATATTAGAGAATATTTGGTTAATTTATTTTAGAATAAATTACCATTTTAACTGTACAAAAGAAATAAGAATAAAAATAGAAAATTTTAGAATTTTTAAAATATATTTATGGACGAATTTAAATTTATTAAAACATCCTTTTCAATCAATTTAAATTTATCCATTCGTGGTTATTCAAGTATTATTCATTCGTGGTAAAATAATATTAAAAAAATGTATAGTTTACAACGAAAGAACCATTAAAAATAATTATTTTGATTATTTTGTAGTCTTAATTTAATAAAATTTTTAAAAATTGAACATTGTTGCAAATTTTCTCTTGTAATTTAAATTTAGAAGATTCTCCTTTGAATTTTTCATAAAATTATATTGTTACAAGATATTTTTTCTACAGAAAACCCCTTTAAAATCTTTAAAACTGATCTATATTCGTACGAATAGATAAAAGTTGTTAGCGCTAGGAGAAAAGGGAGGAAAATACTGTACTTAAATTATCTTCGCTTCTAGAAAATTACAGTTTAATAACAAAGGAAATTAAAGGAAGAAAAATCCATCTACAAAATCATAGTAATCAAGAAACACAAAGCAATTCAATCTGTGAAGTCATCTTGGTGTCTGACAAACTGATGGTACTTAAATCGAACGATAGTAATTCCAATTGTTGTTGCTACATTCTACTAGTTCTGGATATAAATGATGACACAAAAATAAATGATTATTTCATTCGTTTCTCAATTTTTCAATGATTTTGTATCCCAAACTGTCGATCGCCGCTTACTAACCATTTTCTGGATAATTTAATGACATTTTACTGTAATTAAAAAAGGCTAGAAAAAATTAATTTAATAAATTCATTATTTAATTACGTATAAATGAAAATTATTACTTAATACAGTAATAGGAAAACCTTCATTTTATAAAAAGAATAATAATATCAGACTTAGTTATGAACTTTGACATTAAGAAATGAAGATCCTAATTGCCACGAGACATTCAGAAAATGCTTAAGAAATCATTTATTTTCTTATAATGTTTTTAAATTTATTTTTAAAAATAAATAATAATAATAATTTATAATTGAATTTAAATAGATGCGAAGGAGTGGATTCGTTAGTAGTGTTTATTACTGTCAATGGGCAAAAAGAACAAATTGATAATTTCTGTGGTAATGAATTGCCAGCTCAATTAATGTCAAATGGTCCTACCATGACAGTTCAGTTTCGCAGTTATCATTCCTCCAAAAATGTCAAAGGATTTCGTGCAATTTATAGGTTCGTAACAAGTAAGTTGCATCTATTTATTTCATATTTTATTCTTTATAAATAATTTTTAATTTTTTTCAATTATTTTATTTTGATAACGTTAAATTAATTAAAACATTTTACACTTAATTTGTTTAATACTACTTTTTTATTAAAATTACAAGACTTTTTAAAATTATATAATATATTTATTGTAATTAAGTTATAATTATATTTATTTTAATTTAATTATAATAAAAAAATTTTGTAATTGAAATTATGGTAATTTGTATACACAAAAATAGGAGAATTATTAAATATTTTTAGAGAAATAATAATAAAAATTGGCGAAAATAAAGGAATTTTCTTGTAGTAATATTTTAATATACATTTTTATGGCTATTGATAAGAGAAGCTGCAAAAATAAAGAAAGCAATTCTTGAAATATTCAAAAATAAATATTTTAGAAATGATCCTGACTTTTCTTTTTAAAATGGGGAAATGCAGAAGTAGAAATAGAAAAATATGAAAAAATGGAGATGAAAATTTACTTAATAAATTGTAAAATAATATTTTTAATAGTGTTATTTTTTAACATGAAAATAAACGAAAAAAGACTTACTTTATTTTAGAAAATTATTTTCTTGCTGTTTAATTAAAAGAGCAAGAAAATAATTTATTTAAAATTGTAAAAAATAATTAGATTAGAATTATTTTTTACAATTTTAATTTATAAAAGTTTGCTTTTAAATAATTGCAAATTGTAAAAATACTTTTAATATACTACAATTAATTTCGAAAAATATTAAAATAAATTTTTAAAAATTTTATATACTGTATCTCTCAACCTCTTTTATTTTTCTTATATATAATAAAGAAAATTGTTTATTATATACCTCGCCGGGTAAAGCGTTATTTTTCTTAACCTTTCTATTGTTTATTATGCTGGAAGAGTCCGCCATTCACTAGTTGAGAATGTGAAGTTTTAGCAAATGGAAATTTTTTATTTTTGTTTATTTTAATTTTTGCTTTATAAATCGAATAAAAATAGTTAGTTTATTATAAATATAACTTTATTTTTAAATATTTAACGAGGAATAATGAATTTAAAATGGTAAATCTTTATTTTATTCATTTATCATATGGTATATTTTTGTATTAATTTCAACTGTCTAATCTAAAAAAATAACGCAATTTATTAATTACAGTATTAAATATTATTATTTAATTTTTAAAAAATTAATAATAAAAATGCTAATTTATTTTTTATTATATTACAGATTTTGGTATGACAGCTGGAAGGCAAGATTCCAAAATAGGTAATTATACGAAAAAACATGTTACAGATAATAAATTTAATGCATTAATTCGATCATTTGTATGCCTTACAAATTATTTAATTAAAATATATTGTAATAAAAACAAATTAACTTAAAGAAATTTTAATGTTTATCATTCACTTAATGACTACTTGAGATGCAAACAAGAACGTTTGCAATTCTCTTCGTAGCCGAAACTACCATTAAAGATATCTCAGAAAATAAGATAAAGAAAAGAAGAAACATTGCAGATATCGTATCTTTAAGACGTAATTAAATTATATCCATAACATTTACCCCCTTTTTTGTATTAAAAAAAAGAACATTACTTGATGAATTGGATCCTCGAAAATAATACTAATTACGTTAGAATAAATCATAAAATTTACAAGAAATTTTATAGTTTGTACTCCTGTAACGAGTAAGTAAATTTAATTGAATTTAATGCCTTTTATAAGTGTTTTTTTTATAAAAATTAAATTGAGATTTTATAGCCTTTCAATACTTTATAGACTGTAAACTTTTTGATATAGTTTACACTTGTTTTATGGTGTTTTTTTTAAGTTAATAGCCTATTTTGAGAAATTCCAAGTTATTTGGTCCGTATCCCTCGGGGTATTAACACAGTTTTTCAAAGCAAGGTCGAATGATAGCTTTTATATCTGATAATATATAGCATTTACTTTGACTTTGTCCCCATAAAAAATATTATCTCAAATACAGTTTATAACTGGAAGAAATCTTTTAAAAAATATAATAAAATTTAAAAATTTTTGTAAATTATTTTGTTTAAACTGTTTAGAGTGACAGTATTTTTTGATACGTTAGTTACATCAATAGTACCGTTTATTTATGTGTTATTTATGTATTTTTTAAACTAAATTTACGAAATTTTTAGAATTATTTAACCTTAGAAAATAATATAAATATGGAATTTTATCAAATTAAATAAAAATTTTAGAAAATTTATGTTTGATTCTTTACTTTTCGTACTTTTAGATAAGAAATTCAGAAGAACTGATTAATTCAAAAGTGTTATTAGTCCACTTGAAATTCTTATTTAATGCTGAAAGTACAATTAATTTGAATTTTTAGCATAAATTTTAGATAATTGGAAGCTAGTTGATCTCATATTTCGAAAAAAAAGCATTTACAGTAGTCAGCTGGTTTATAGAATTTCGGGTAACCCCTGAAATGCACGTACTGTAAACGCTTGGGGTATGAACGACATTGTTTTGCAGTTGTTGTGACATTTACGTCCAGCTTGCCGAGTTGTTTAACTGTTTTTACTGGTATCTAAATTTAGCTTTAAAACTTGAAGTTATTAAGTGCAGAGAAAATGTGAAAGAATATGAATTCTGACGAACAACTTTCAGAGAAGTATTTTAATTTTCATAAATGGATAAATGGATCGAGCTTTTTTGAATTTTCTTCATAATATTTAGGAAATATTAATAATTCTTCTATTCATTTATCCCTTTCTTAAGTTAATTATTTTATAAAAACTTAAAGTAAAAATATGTTTAATTCTTAATCTTATTATCTATTTAACTTTTCTATAAAATTCGAGTTTATTACTTGTAAGGTTAAATTAATGTAAATATTACCCTATAATTTATAAGCAAAGCAATTATATCGATTTATAAGAAGATATAAAGATTCGTATAGAGCATATTCAATTAATTGCTCATTTTTTAAAGTGTAATTCATAATTACGACGTGCTGTTAAGCTACTGTGTTGTAGGTTAGGACGTTTGTTATTGATGTTCCTTTATCTTGCAGATTGTCGTCTCAACTTTAATAGTACTGAAAGAACCAATGGTACATTCACATCTCCGAATTGGCCCGGTTATTACCCACGAGATACCGAATGTCATTATTTATTTTATGGCAATGGAAGCGAACGTGTCTACATAACTTTTGCTTATTTTGACGTGGATGGAATTCCTCCGTAAGTAATGATTTTTTCCTTCTTTACAAATTATACTTTTACAGAATATATATAGATTTTTTTTATAATTATATAAATCAATCCTGAGTCAGGTAGAATTTTATAAACAATCAAATGTTTAAGCTACAAGTAATTTTTTAAGATAATTCTAGCGTATTTTTAAATAAAATTTTTGAGAGAAAATGTTAGAATATTCTTTTTTTATATTTTAATTAAAATAATTGATAATTTTATTACATATTTTCCAGTTGTGAGAGCGATAGTGCTAGTGATTATGTGGAATTTTCCAATTTTCGCACGGTTGACAGAAAAATTCCGAAACATTGTGGTTCTAGAAAGCCAAAGGTTATCGAATCGGATGGTGATTTCTTTCGTGTTACATTTAAATCTAACGATAAGTTCGATGGTACTGGATTCGAGGCCTTTTATCAGTTCAGAAACTATAATGGTGAGTAATTATGTATTAGGATTTTTAAATAGAGGAAAGGATACTAAAAACTGAAGAAGTTATCTTTTTATTGCATTAATGATTTTACTGATGTAAATATATCATCCAAGTATTAGAATTATACAAAACTAAAAAAGTATTCTATATTTAATGAAGTATAACGTGACTTTTGATTAGACTTTCAAGCATATTGTTATAATTCCTATTAAATCTATTGACGTTTGTTAAAATCCTTATTGAATTCCCTATTAACAACTGTTAAAATCTCTATTAAACTTCCTATTAACAATTGTTAAAATCCTTATAAATAAGGATCTATAGAGATTTTAACAATATGCTTCGATAGGATAATTCTTAATGAATGATATAAAATGAATGTAAAAATTCATAAAAGAAAAACAAAGAAAACAAATTTTTAAATTAATATGTAAAAAATTAACTAGTTTAAAATTGTTTTACGTAGTAAATTAACAAAAGAAAATTTAACAATTTATCCAGTTTGACGCCTTTCATGTGTTGAATATGTCTCTAGCTGATACGATTACCTACATTTGTTAAACAAGTAGACGATCGTATTCTCTAGAGGCATATTCGATGCAAACAGCTGGAAGGTGGCAAAACTAATATGTAAAGCCTACTAATAATACTAAATTTAGTGTATTGAATGCTGTTTGAAGTTAAACGTGACTCCACAAATCAACTCACTCCCGAGTATAGAAGTCTCAAAGACATCCGAAATCTATAAACCGAATAAACTAGTAAAAAAATAATAAAATACTGTACATTCAACTTCTTCTTCTTTAATATTTTGTTTAAAATTATTTTTAAAAAAGAGAGAGAACTTGTAGTTTTAGAAAATTCAAACTGAATTTATCAATTTCTTCATTTGATCATCTTGGGAGAGAGATCCAATCAATTGTAATTGTATCTGGAAGCACCAAATCAGACATCTTTATTTTGAAGAGTTCAATGCGCTTGGAATTTTCTGCAGGTTATTCACTCTTTGATTAAATTTAACGTTATCTTCTTTCGGTTGAAGTTAATCAGATCCTTTCTTCGATTATTGGAGATAAATTGTACCTTTAGTTGCACGGCCACTCCGGAATTCCACGATATTGGGTATCATTGTCAATAAAGAATTGTATTACTGGCAATAACCTAAATGTATAAAGTTGCAAGACTTTCATACTTTTCAACTAATTCAGTTTAGCAAGAAACCTGTCCAAAACGGAACCTGCCAAACGGGAACCCGACAAATCGGAAATTGGATACCGTGCGAGTCCGGTTTACGCAGGTTCCATTGTAATACAAAAATCAGCATATATTTTTTAAAGTAAATTAAAACTAACCGGTGAATCTCGAACTACAAGCAATAATTTTAACTAGTGTAAAAAGATATTTTTTGTCCTGCTCAATTAAAATAAGGAGAATCAACAAGAATTTTTGCTAAACTTCTAAACGATATCTCCTTGTTAAAGCCAAATTTCTATTTAAATTAATTGCATTTAATTGATTCGTCTGAGATGAAAGCATCAATTCCTCGACGTTAATCGCTTTTTTTTTTAATTAATGTGAAGTAAACTGATTTGCTATAAAGAAAGAAAAATTCCAAAAATAAAATAATATTAAATTAAAATTCTTCATAAATTAAAAATTTCTAAAGTTAGTTTAATTTTCATTTTGATTTAAATAATTATAATTATATGCTAGTTCATTTTACTCATTTTTTTTAATTTATTTAGATCCATTTACTATCAAACGTGTAGCTACAACGTCGGGAGTAACGCGGTGTAAGTATTCATTTATACTTTTTATGATTATGCAATTTAAATATTATAAGTAAATTATTATATTTTTACATTTATATAAAATTTTACGGATTATTTTAACGATAAATTAACGTCCGCCTTCGTAACTAAGCAGTTTCAGAAGTTAACCAATAAACATTCACGTACTAAAAGTAAAATGAATGCTAATTGGTTAATTTCAAATTCAGATTTAATCTTCGGCTGCGAATACAAATTTTGATTTTTTACGATTTTATTACTAAACATTTTTAAATTTTAATTAAAAATGCGTTTAAACTTATTAAATTTAGATATCAACTTTTAATATCTAACCATTTCTTAATAATTAATTAAATAAAAAAATAATTATTCTTTTTTTAGCTTTCTCTTTGATTCACCAGATGGCAGCAATATTCATATCCACCATTTTTGCTTTGGCAATATTTAAAATATAATGGCGTAAGACGAAATAAACCATATCCAAGAAAAGAAATAAGAAATTCAGAGAAGTATAAATATTTTCTGAATAAGTAAAAGAAAATATCAACAGAATTGCCTAAGAAGTTATGGACTAAATCACTTTGTTATAAAGAAAAAACAGTAACAAAATGGCGATGCGTACACGAAACTCTATTCACTTTCTTTACATTTAACGCTTTAATTTACTTCTTAAAAAAATTAATTTTTGCTACGAAAATCCACTGCCAAATAATTAATTTTTAATTAAAATCAATTTTTTGCATTGATACATAATGAAGCATCGCTATAATTTTAAGTCTTTTCTATGTTTTTAAGCCGAAGAATACTCACAAAAAATATTTATAATATTTTATATTCTTAAAAAATACGAATTATTATTATATGAAATAATTTGTTCTTTCCGTAATTTTCGTTTTAAATTACAAATTATCACTGTAAAGATAAATGCATTGTAATATATAGTTATATATATTAATAGTTTATAACTTAGCACAAAATTAATATGAGTGTTATATATCAAATAACTTTTTCCATTTTCTATAAAAATAACTGATTATATTATAGTTTTAAATATTATCATCATCGTTATTACATCAATATATAAAAAAAAATTTTCCATATAATTTATATTATAATATTTAAAAAAGAAAACTCCTTCACTACAGTTGATTGTCATAATCATGGCGATAAAATGATTATAAAAATGTTTTAGAAATAAAAAATTTTTTATAAATATGTGTAAACTTTTATTTTTTTTATAAATTATTATTATTCCTTAAAAATTCTTATTTTACATAAATTAAATAATAAGTTCTAGCCAAGAAAGGGCCGACGTCGCTTGCAGCTTAGAGCTTCGTGCCTTTAAATTTATTATTATTTGGTGGAAGGGAAGGGCCTTCTTATATCTTACAGTGTAAGCCCTCTAGGGCCACAAATAATGAAATAATGAAATGGAAACATTGGCACGAAAATCCCATAAAAGAACTAAACATAAGTACATGCTTTAATCTCTAATTTCTCAACGTTTTGTAATTAAATTATTCGCCGAATTAAAGGTTAAAAAATTTTAAAATGTAAATTAGCATCTTAAGAATTGATTTGTTTTGTATCAAATTTAAATTAATTATAATATATAATCAAAGGGGCGACGTGTAAATGAATCAGTCTGACGCTCTGGAGGCTTCGAGCTTAAGTCCCAAGGTGCCTAGTCTCGAATTATGCAAGAATGAAACACAAACGTGTTGGAGATATCACGTGGTACAAAGTGAGCGACCACGTGGCAATATCGCGTGGTCGTTCAGCCAACATTCTTACCAAGTGGCACACTCAATACGTTCACGTTGTGTTCTCACGAGGCTGAGTTCAGGCAGGCTCGTTACCTTACGTCTGGCCTACTTTGATTGGCCAGACGTAACGTAGCCTAATAAGTTCGGGAAGTTCAAGATTAAGTTGATCCGGATATGAAGGGCCTTCTTAACACAGGTCTTTCCTGTTGCGAGCCTTTCGAATTTACAATAGTTACGACAAAGACCTTCTCGGGATAGAGATATATGTACATAATTTGCACAAAATAGATTTAGATTATTAAAGATAACGTTACAAAAGATAACCATCGCGTAATTAATTTGTCATTATCGCCTCCATTGATAACAATAAAAGTAATCTTCTCCGAAATGTTAATAAGTTATGGATCTACTAATGGCATTATTAGGTTATTACTATATGTTAAATAGGCGAAACTATCAATATATATTAAAGGGCAAAGATCATCCTTACTATTTTAAATTAAAAAAAGGAAATGGCCTTTAAGGCCAACTACACAAACAAGGTATAGACCCCCTTCTATTTTGGTCTAAGGTAGGGCTAGGGTAGATCAGGTTTATAGGATAACAATAATAATCGACAATGGTCAACTACTTGAAAAAATTGGATGAATGGGGAGATAACTCCCGAGATGACCTCTACGGAAAAGTGATGCAACAGATGGGCGATCTACCGAGGAGAATTAGCTCTTGGGAGGGCTTCTATAAGAAGTGTCTCCTACTTAGGTGTTAGATACGTAAAGAAAATTCGGAAAACACCATGTGCCCAGCAGTTTGGTCAGACGCGATGGTCACTGGTGGGCACTTGTTGAAAAGTGAAGATTAGTTGACACAGAAAGTAGTCTAAGTAGTAGTTTAGGCTACACCTCATCTTTGAAATCGGCTCTTAAAGACTTCAATCGTATTAATCTGCAGAATTGTTATATTAGCTAATTGATGATTATTATCGTCCTCGTTTATTTATATAAAGCCTAATCACATAAAAGCAGATAAGTAAGTAAACGTATCGAAATTACCACATAAATTATTAATAAATGATGAAAAATTCGAATTGATTTCGATCCCAAATTCCTTGGAGAAATGGATATTAATAAAGTAATCATCTGGGGTACAAAGATTGATGCAAAAATCGATTCAGTTCGTTTCGTTGACAATAAATTTTGAAGCTGGCTTGAAAGTCATTGAAAGTACAGACAAATCCAGAACTAATTAACTACTCTAAAAATAAATGATTTCTTTACTTGCATCAATTTTCCATTATCTGAAAGTGAGAATTGTTAAAGAACGTTGCTTCAAGAACTGTATATTTCTTTATTGTTCCAAAGATCGAGAACAAAATCCGGAGATTAATTACATTACAGTTTCTATACTTATCTAATTAATGTATACGTTTATATATATATATTTAAATGGATGAAGTGTAAAAATCAAACAAAATGTGAAAAGAAAGCTTTAAAATAATTGTAAAAGCTAAAGCTATTGACGATTTTACAGTAAAGATAAATGATCAAATTTGATACCTTAATAAACAGATTTTTAATGATTAAAATTTTTCTACAGAAAATAAATTCTGAAATTCTTCTCTCTCCAGTCGTTTGTAAAAAAATCAATTGCATTTTTAATTACGCGACGATTGTAAGATCAAAGTCTTGGTGGTTTGATGATAAAGTTATCAATAGATTTCAATATATTCGCAACTCTATCACGAAAAATTCAAGAATTAGGGATTAGGATTTCTTCAAGAAATTGAAGAAATTCATAATTCTTGAATTTGTCTTTCTTCTTTAATTTCTTTCCAACAAATTTTAATTCTCTTTGAATAAAAGTGAGTTTTCTTTTAAAAAATTCTTCGAATAATGTTTCTTCAGTTCAGATAATAAATATAAATTTTGGTTTAATATCTGAAACTATTTCCATGTAAAATTTAAATTTTGATATGAAATTTCAAGAAATTTAGGAGATTTCAATGTGAAATAAATTAATTTTTCTTACTGTTCATAATAAAACAATTGACTGTTATAAAGTCTAAAATATTATAATTATAACGATTATTGAAATAATTTTTATGAGAAATTTTCTAATATATGAATACAATTTCTCGACGTAGATTATTAAATTGATATCATATAAATTGCAAATAAGTAATTGGACGAACCAGGTATACATTACAGGATGACGAAAATAGAAACTCAGATTAGAAAAATAATTATTTGTTGATAGGAAACATTTCAAAATATTTCAATTTTATAAAATATTGTTACATTATGAAAGAAATATTTTAAGATATTTTATATTTGAGGTACAGAAAAATAATACTGTATTAACATTATAATTAATAGTAGCAGATTCTAAGAGATGAGGAACAGAACCAATGGATCATCATCTCTCTTAAGAAAGTTCTTAAAAAAAGAGCAGAAAGAGCCTAAGGAAGACGAAGATGCTGACTATATCATCATCTCTTGGAACATGCTTTACGAATACAGTAGAGCGTCGATTATCCGAATCAATTGAGGACTGGGGTTGTTCGGAAGATCGATGTTTCGGATAACCGATTATGTACGAAAAAATATATTANTCTTTTATTTTTCTTATATATAATAAAGAAAATTGTTTATTATATACCTCGCCGGGTAAAGCGTTATTTTTCTTAACCTTTCTATTGTTTATTATGCTGGAAGAGTCCGCCATTCACTAGTTGAGAATGTGAAGTTTTAGCAAATGGAAATTTTTTATTTTTGTTTATTTTAATTTTTGCTTTATAAATCGAATAAAAATAGTTAGTTTATTATAAATATAACTTTATTTTTAAATATTTAACGAGGAATAATGAATTTAAAATGGTAAATCTTTATTTTATTCATTTATCATATGGTATATTTTTGTATTAATTTCAACTGTCTAATCTAAAAAAATAACGCAATTTATTAATTACAGTATTAAATATTATTATTTAATTTTTAAAAAATTAATAATAAAAATGCTAATTTATTTTTTATTATATTACAGATTTTGGTATGACAGCTGGAAGGCAAGATTCCAAAATAGGTAATTATACGAAAAAACATGTTACAGATAATAAATTTAATGCATTAATTCGATCATTTGTATGCCTTACAAATTATTTAATTAAAATATATTGTAATAAAAACAAATTAACTTAAAGAAATTTTAATGTTTATCATTCACTTAATGACTACTTGAGATGCAAACAAGAACGTTTGCAATTCTCTTCGTAGCCGAAACTACCATTAAAGATATCTCAGAAAATAAGATAAAGAAAAGAAGAAACATTGCAGATATCGTATCTTTAAGACGTAATTAAATTATATCCATAACATTTACCCCCTTTTTTGTATTAAAAAAAAGAACATTACTTGATGAATTGGATCCTCGAAAATAATACTAATTACGTTAGAATAAATCATAAAATTTACAAGAAATTTTATAGTTTGTACTCCTGTAACGAGTAAGTAAATTTAATTGAATTTAATGCCTTTTATAAGTGTTTTTTTTATAAAAATTAAATTGAGATTTTATAGCCTTTCAATACTTTATAGACTGTAAACTTTTTGATATAGTTTACACTTGTTTTATGGTGTTTTTTTTAAGTTAATAGCCTATTTTGAGAAATTCCAAGTTATTTGGTCCGTATCCCTCGGGGTATTAACACAGTTTTTCAAAGCAAGGTCGAATGATAGCTTTTATATCTGATAATATATAGCATTTACTTTGACTTTGTCCCCATAAAAAATATTATCTCAAATACAGTTTATAACTGGAAGAAATCTTTTAAAAAATATAATAAAATTTTAAAATTTTTGTAAATTATTTTGTTTAAACTGTTTAGAGTGACAGTATTTTTTGATACGTTAGTTACATCAATAGTACCGTTTATTTATGTGTTATTTATGTATTTTTTAAACTAAATTTACGAAATTTTTAGAATTATTTAACCTTAGAAAATAATATAAATATGGAATTTTATCAAATTAAATAAAAATTTTAGAAAATTTATGTTTGATTCTTTACTTTTCGTACTTTTAGATAAGAAATTCAGAAGAACTGATTAATTCAAAAGTGTTATTAGTCCACTTGAAATTCTTATTTAATGCTGAAAGTACAATTAATTTGAATTTTTAGCATAAATTTTAGATAATTGGAAGCTAGTTGATCTCATATTTCGAAAAAAAAGCATTTACAGTAGTCAGCTGGTTTATAGAATTTCGGGTAACCCCTGAAATGCACGTACTGTAAACGCTTGGGGTATGAACGACATTGTTTTGCAGTTGTTGTGACATTTACGTCCAGCTTGCCGAGTTGTTTAACTGTTTTTACTGGTATCTAAATTTAGCTTTAAAACTTGAAGTTATTAAGTGCAGAGAAAATGTGAAAGAATATGAATTCTGACGAACAACTTTCAGAGAAGTATTTTAATTTTCATAAATGGATAAATGGATCGAGCTTTTTTGAATTTTCTTCATAATATTTAGGAAATATTAATAATTCTTCTATTCATTTATCCCTTTCTTAAGTTAATTATTTTATAAAAACTTAAAGTAAAAATATGTTTAATTCTTAATCTTATTATCTATTTAACTTTTCTATAAAATTCGAGTTTATTACTTGTAAGGTTAAATTAATGTAAATATTACCCTATAATTTATAAGCAAAGCAATTATATCGATTTATAAGAAGAGATAAAGATTCGTATAGAGCATATTCAATTAATTGCTCATTTTTTAAAGTGTAATTCATAATTACGACGTGCTGTTAAGCTACTGTGTTGTAGGTTAGGACGTTTGTTATTGATGTTCCTTTATCTTGCAGATTGTCGTCTCAACTTTAATAGTACTGAAAGAACCAATGGTACATTCACATCTCCGAATTGGCCCGGTTATTACCCACGAGATACCGAATGTCATTATTTATTTTATGGCAATGGAAGCGAACGTGTCTACATAACTTTTGCTTATTTTGACGTGGATGGAATTCCTCCGTAAGTAATGATTTTTTCCTTCTTTACAAATTATACTTTTACAGAATATATATAGATTTTTTTTATAATTATATAAATCAATCCTGAGTCAGGTAGAATTTTATAAACAATCAAATGTTTAAGCTACAAGTAATTTTTTAAGATAATTCTAGCGTATTTTTAAATAAAATTTTTGAGAGAAAATGTTAGAATATTCTTTTTTTATATTTTAATTAAAATAATTGATAATTTTATTACATATTTTCCAGTTGTGAGAGCGATAGTGCTAGTGATTATGTGGAATTTTCCAATTTTCGCACGGTTGACAGAAAAATTCCGAAACATTGTGGTTCTAGAAAGCCAAAGGTTATCGAATCGGATGGTGATTTCTTTCGTGTTACATTTAAATCTAACGATAAGTTCGATGGTACTGGATTCGAGGCCTTTTATCAGTTCAGAAACTATAATGGTGAGTAATTATGTATTAGGATTTTTAAATAGAGGAAAGGATACTAAAAACTGAAGAAGTTATCTTTTTATTGCATTAATGATTTTACTGATGTAAATATATCATCCAAGTATTAGAATTATACAAAACTAAAAAAGTATTCTATATTTAATGAAGTATAACGTGACTTTTGATTAGACTTTCAAGCATATTGTTATAATTCCTATTAAATCTATTGACGTTTGTTAAAATCCTTATTGAATTCCCTATTAACAACTGTTAAAATCTCTATTAAACTTCCTATTAACAATTGTTAAAATCCTTATAAATAAGGATCTATAGAGATTTTAACAATATGCTTCGATAGGATAATTCTTAATGAATGATATAAAATGAATGTAAAAATTCATAAAAGAAAAACAAAGAAAACAAATTTTTAAATTAATATGTAAAAAATTAACTAGTTTAAAATTGTTTTACGTAGTAAATTAACAAAAGAAAATTTAACAATTTATCCAGTTTGACGCCTTTCATGTGTTGAATATGTCTCTAGCTGATACGATTACCTACATTTGTTAAACAAGTAGACGATCGTATTCTCTAGAGGCATATTCGATGCAAACAGCTGGAAGGTGGCAAAACTAATATGTAAAGCCTACTAATAATACTAAATTTAGTGTATTGAATGCTGTTTGAAGTTAAACGTGACTCCACAAATCAACTCACTCCCGAGTATAGAAGTCTCAAAGACATCCGAAATCTATAAACCGAATAAACTAGTAAAAAAATAATAAAATACTGTACATTCAACTTCTTCTTCTTTAATATTTTGTTTAAAATTATTTTTAAAAAAGAGAGAGAACTTGTAGTTTTAGAAAATTCAAACTGAATTTATCAATTTCTTCATTTGATCATCTTGGGAGAGAGATCCAATCAATTGTAATTGTATCTGGAAGCACCAAATCAGACATCTTTATTTTGAAGAGTTCAATGCGCTTGGAATTTTCTGCAGGTTATTCACTCTTTGATTAAATTTAACGTTATCTTCTTTCGGTTGAAGTTAATCAGATCCTTTCTTCGATTATTGGAGATAAATTGTACCTTTAGTTGCACGGCCACTCCGGAATTCCACGATATTGGGTATCATTGTCAATAAAGAATTGTATTACTGGCAATAACCTAAATGTATAAAGTTGCAAGACTTTCATACTTTTCAACTAATTCAGTTTAGCAAGAAACCTGTCCAAAACGGAACCTGCCAAACGGGAACCCGACAAATCGGAAATTGGATACCGTGCGAGTCCGGTTTACGCAGGTTCCATTGTAATACAAAAATCAGCATATATTTTTTAAAGTAAATTAAAACTAACCGGTGAATCTCGAACTACAAGCAATAATTTTAACTAGTGTAAAAAGATATTTTTTGTCCTGCTCAATTAAAATAAGGAGAATCAACAAGAATTTTTGCTAAACTTCTAAACGATATCTCCTTGTTAAAGCCAAATTTCTATTTAAATTAATTGCATTTAATTGATTCGTCTGAGATGAAAGCATCAATTCCTCGACGTTAATCGCTTTTTTTTTTAATTAATGTGAAGTAAACTGATTTGCTATAAAGAAAGAAAAATTCCAAAAATAAAATAATATTAAATTAAAATTCTTCATAAATTAAAAATTTCTAAAGTTAGTTTAATTTTCATTTTGATTTAAATAATTATAATTATATGCTAGTTCATTTTACTCATTTTTTTTAATTTATTTAGATCCATTTACTATCAAACGTGTAGCTACAACGTCGGGAGTAACGCGGTGTAAGTATTCATTTATACTTTTTATGATTATGCAATTTAAATATTATAAGTAAATTATTATATTTTTACATTTATATAAAATTTTACGGATTATTTTAACGATAAATTAACGTCCGCCTTCGTAACTAAGCAGTTTCAGAAGTTAACCAATAAACATTCACGTACTAAAAGTAAAATGAATGCTAATTGGTTAATTTCAAATTCAGATTTAATCTTCGGCTGCGAATACAAATTTTGATTTTTTACGATTTTATTACTAAACATTTTTAAATTTTAATTAAAAATGCGTTTAAACTTATTAAATTTAGATATCAACTTTTAATATCTAACCATTTCTTAATAATTAATTAAATAAAAAAATAATTATTCTTTTTTTAGCTTTCTCTTTGATTCACCAGATGGCAGCAATATTCATATCCACCATTTTTGCTTTGGCAATATTTAAAATATAATGGCGTAAGACGAAATAAACCATATCCAAGAAAAGAAATAAGAAATTCAGAGAAGTATAAATATTTTCTGAATAAGTAAAAGAAAATATCAACAGAATTGCCTAAGAAGTTATGGACTAAATCACTTTGTTATAAAGAAAAAACAGTAACAAAATGGCGATGCGTACACGAAACTCTATTCACTTTCTTTACATTTAACGCTTTAATTTACTTCTTAAAAAAATTAATTTTTGCTACGAAAATCCACTGCCAAATAATTAATTTTTAATTAAAATCAATTTTTTGCATTGATACATAATGAAGCATCGCTATAATTTTAAGTCTTTTCTATGTTTTTAAGCCGAAGAATACTCACAAAAAATATTTATAATATTTTATATTCTTAAAAAATACGAATTATTATTATATGAAATAATTTGTTCTTTCCGTAATTTTCGTTTTAAATTACAAATTATCACTGTAAAGATAAATGCATTGTAATATATAGTTATATATATTAATAGTTTATAACTTAGCACAAAATTAATATGAGTGTTATATATCAAATAACTTTTTCCATTTTCTATAAAAATAACTGATTATATTATAGTTTTAAATATTATCATCATCGTTATTACATCAATATATAAAAAAAAATTTTCCATATAATTTATATTATAATATTTAAAAAAGAAAACTCCTTCACTACAGTTGATTGTCATAATCATGGCGATAAAATGATTATAAAAATGTTTTAGAAATAAAAAATTTTTTATAAATATGTGTAAACTTTTATTTTTTTTATAAATTATTATTATTCCTTAAAAATTCTTATTTTACATAAATTAAATAATAAGTTCTAGCCAAGAAAGGGCCGACGTCGCTTGCAGCTTAGAGCTTCGTGCCTTTAAATTTATTATTATTTGGTGGAAGGGAAGGGCCTTCTTATATCTTACAGTGTAAGCCCTCTAGGGCCACAAATAATGAAATAATGAAATGGAAACATTGGCACGAAAATCCCATAAAAGAACTAAACATAAGTACATGCTTTAATCTCTAATTTCTCAACGTTTTGTAATTAAATTATTCGCCGAATTAAAGGTTAAAAAATTTTAAAATGTAAATTAGCATCTTAAGAATTGATTTGTTTTGTATCAAATTTAAATTAATTATAATATATAATCAAAGGGGCGACGTGTAAATGAATCAGTCTGACGCTCTGGAGGCTTCGAGCTTAAGTCCCAAGGTGCCTAGTCTCGAATTATGCAAGAATGAAACACAAACGTGTTGGAGATATCACGTGGTACAAAGTGAGCGACCACGTGGCAATATCGCGTGGTCGTTCAGCCAACATTCTTACCAAGTGGAACACTCAATACGTTCACGTTGTGTTCTCACGAGGCTGAGTTCAGGCAGGCTCGTTACCTTACGTCTGGCCTACTTTGATTGGCCAGACGTAACGTAGCCTAATAAGTTCGGGAAGTTCAAGATTAAGTTGATCCGGATATGAAGGGCCTTCTTAACACAGGTCTTTCCTGTTGCGAGCCTTTCGAATTTACAATAGTTACGACAAAGACCTTCTCGGGATAGAGATATATGTACATAATTTGCACAAAATAGATTTAGATTATTAAAGATAACGTTACAAAAGATAACCATCGCGTAATTAATTTGTCATTATCGCCTCCATTGATAACAATAAAAGTAATCTTCTCCGAAATGTTAATAAGTTATGGATCTACTAATGGCATTATTAGGTTATTACTATATGTTAAATAGGCGAAACTATCAATATATATTAAAGGGCAAAGATCATCCTTACTATTTTAAATTAAAAAAAGGAAATGGCCTTTAAGGCCAACTACACAAACAAGGTATAGACCCCCTTCTATTTTGGTCTAAGGTAGGGCTAGGGTAGATCAGGTTTATAGGATAACAATAATAATCGACAATGGTCAACTACTTGAAAAAATTGGATGAATGGGGAGATAACTCCCGAGATGACCTCTACGGAAAAGTGATGCAACAGATGGGCGATCTACCGAGGAGAATTAGCTCTTGGGAGGGCTTCTATAAGAAGTGTCTCCTACTTAGGTGTTAGATACGTAAAGAAAATTCGGAAAACACCATGTGCCCAGCAGTTTGGTCAGACGCGATGGTCACTGGTGGGCACTTGTTGAAAAGTGAAGATTAGTTGACACAGAAAGTAGTCTAAGTAGTAGTTTAGGCTACACCTCATCTTTGAAATCGGCTCTTAAAGACTTCAATCGTATTAATCTGCAGAATTGTTATATTAGCTAATTGATGATTATTATCGTCCTCGTTTATTTATATAAAGCCTAATCACATAAAAGCAGATAAGTAAGTAAACGTATCGAAATTACCACATAAATTATTAATAAATGATGAAAAATTCGAATTGATTTCGATCCCAAATTCCTTGGAGAAATGGATATTAATAAAGTAATCATCTGGGGTACAAAGATTGATGCAAAAATCAATTCAGTTCGTTTCGTTGACAATAAATTTTGAAGCTGGCTTGAAAGTCATTGAAAGTACAGACAAATCCAGAACTAATTAACTACTCTAAAAATAAATGATTTCTTTACTTGCATCAATTTTCCATTATCTGAAAGTGACAATTGTTAAAGAACGTTGCTTCAAGAACTGTATATTTCTTTATTGTTCCAAAGATCGAGAACAAAATCCGGAGATTAATTACATTACAGTTTCTATACTTATCTAATTAATGTATACGTTTATATATATATATTTAAATGGATGAAGTGTAAAAATCAAACAAAATGTGAAAAGAAAGCTTTAAAATAATTGTAAAAGCTAAAGCTATTGACGATTTTACAGTAAAGATAAATGATCAAATTTGATACCTTAATAAACAGATTTTTAATGATTAAAATTTTTCTACAGAAAATAAATTCTGAAATTCTTCTCTCTCCAGTCGTTTGTAAAAAAATCAATTGCATTTTTAATTACGCGACGATTGTAAGATCAAAGTCTTGGTGGTTTGATGATAAAGTTATCAATAGATTTCAATATATTCGCAACTCTATCACGAAAAATTCAAGAATTAGGGATTAGGATTTCTTCAAGAAATTGAAGAAATTCATAATTCTTGAATTTGTCTTTCTTCTTTAATTTCTTTCCAACAAATTTTAATTCTCTTTGAATAAAAGTGAGTTTTCTTTTAAAAAATTCTTCGAATAATGTTTCTTCAGTTCAGATAATAAATATAAATTTTGGTTTAATATCTGAAACTATTTCCATGTAAAATTTAAATTTTGATATGAAATTTCAAGAAATTTAGGAGATTTCAATGTGAAATAAATTAATTTTTCTTACTGTTCATAATAAAACAATTGACTGTTATAAAGTCTAAAATATTATAATTATAACGATTATTGAAATAATTTTTATGAGAAATTTTCTAATATATGAATACAATTTCTCGACGTAGATTATTAAATTGATATCATATAAATTGCAAATAAGTAATTGGACGAACCAGGTATACATTACAGGATGACGAAAATAGAAACTCAGATTAGAAAAATAATTATTTGTTGATAGGAAACATTTCAAAATATTTCAATTTTATAAAATATTGTTACATTATGAAATAAATATTTTAAGATATTTTATATTTGAGGTACAGAAAAATAATACTGTATTAACATTATAATTAATAGTAGCAGATTCTAAGAGATGAGGAACAGAACCAATGGATCATCATCTCTCTTAAGAAAGTTCTTAAAAAAGAGCAGAAAGAGCCTAAGGAAGACGAAGATGCTGACTATATCATCATCTCTTGGAACATGCTTTACGAATACAGTAGAGCGTCGATTATCCGAATCAATTGAGGACTGGGGTTGTTCGGAAGATCGATGTTTCGGATAACCGATTATGTACGAAAAAATATATTAATTTATCCCATCTTACATTTTTCTCCGTTGCGTGTCGCTTCGCGTTGAATTTTCGTCGATGTTAAGCCTAACGAAGACTATTGTATCGTTAAAAATTATTTTTTTATTTTGTACGAACAAAATAAATATATTGAAAAATATAAAAGCAATAAAAAATTATACTTCAGAAGTTAATTTAGTATCAAAAACGTAAAATATTTGAGTAGCCCAAGACATAGCCAAAGATTGCAGCTCCACAGCACTGGCGAAAATTAAAATTTGCCGACTGGAATCCTTTCGGATAATTGACGTTTCGGATGATTGACTTTCGGATAATTGACGCTTTACTGTACTTATAGTAATTAGAATACTCTTTTGTGTGGTGTTTCGTGTAAAATTTTGAACTGAATTTTAATAAGAATTTTCATAAACAATATTCGTGGCTTTTAACCCATGTGAATGCGAACATCAATTGCATCCATTTGCGATGATCACAAGTTTTTCCGATGAATTCTCGGGTGTAGTCGTAGACTGGAGGTTGCATTGAATCTTTTGCCGCATGAAAAATGGCTTTGCTCCCGAGTGAGTGCGAAGATGGTTTACGAGATGTTGTCTTTATGTAAAACTCTGTTTTCAGTGGTCGCGGGTAAAAGGTTTCGCTCAAGAATGAATCCTGACGTGCCTTCGTAAACACAAGTTTCGACTGAATCTTTCGGCGCAGAATTGATAAGAGAATGGCTTTTCTTCAGTGTGAGTCCTCCAATGACACTAATTCGTACTTCCAAGGAAATGCTTTTCCACAATTTTTACAGCGAAATTTCTTCGTATTTCAATCACGAAATCCAAAGAAAAGTCAAACAATGTTAAATTTAAATTTAAAAATAAAATTGAAAATAAATCAATTAGAATAAATAGAGCCAAAATGCAGAAAAAGATGTCCGTCTTATAGGCTATATCTTAAAAAATAAATCTATATTTAATCTAAAATGAATCTGATAAGAAATCTCTTTAAAAAGAGGAGAGAGAGAGAGAGCCTAATGAAGATAAGGATGCGGTCCTTATTTTCATCTTCCTTAGGCTCCCCCGTCTCTTCTCTTCATCTCTGTAAGGCTTCCATCCGAAGACACAAATAAAATTACTTTTTTTGATCACTTATCACTAGAAACTTTTATTTAAAGCATTTTTAGTTTATTCTTTTTTACATATGCTCAGCGCTCCAGTCAAATGTCTCCGTTGACCTCTCAACTCGTCTACTTTTATTAAAATCCTATGAAAATACATTTTCTATAATATACTCGTAAAAAAGCATTAAATCATTTCGAAACATAAATACAGTTCTCATTTTTCTTGACTTATTTTAGGCTTCTTGATAAGAATCTTTGGAAGGGAGTTTATTTTGGATTTTTCAATGCGGGAACACGTTACATCAAGCAAAACTTTGAAATTCTTAAATAGAAATTTCTACATAACTGTATCATATCATTGAAAAAAATATATATCTTGTAACATTTCTGGAATTTTTTCCATCAGCAATAATCTAACTCTACACTATACTTTTTCTATAAGAAATTACTAAATTTACCTCTTTTCCACCGCTGGATCC